CAACTGATAAACTTTATTTTAATATAAAAATAAAAATTATTTCTTATTAAAATTATAAATTTTTATATAGAGAGAAATTTTTAATTTTCACTATATTTTATTAGTAAATTTAGTCTCTGAGTCATTACTTTTGATTGCCATTGTATATAATTATTAAGTTAAATTAAAGAAATAAATAGTAATAATATTTATATATAATTAGCTAGAATAAGCTTTAATTTCAAAATATAATTTTAATAATAATATAAAAATAATTTATTAATAAAATAAATATTATAGATTATTATTTATTTTATTTTATAAGATATTAAATATTTATATTATCTTTTTTATTAACTAAGTTATATTATATTTATATATTTTAAAAGTTCTATAAATAACATTTTAATTATATATTTATATTATTTTTATTAAAATCTAAATACTTGTAAAATTAATTATAAATATTTATAAATAATATTTTTTTAAATTAGTATTTAATAAAATATTATTATTTAATAAAAATAAAATAACATTTAAAAATTATAATAAAAATTTATATTATAATAGAATTTTCTTTATTAGTATTTTGCTTTATAAAATGAAATATTATATATTAAGTTTTTATTATACTTAATAATTTTTTAAAATTTATTATTTATTTTCTTTTAAGTTTAACTTTTTCAAATTCAAATAGATTATTCTGAAATATATTAAAATAATTTATTACTTTATTAGCTATTTTTCAATATCAAAATAATATATTATTAATCATAATATAACTTAAAAATAAAGCTTTTTTTAGTTGAATTAATATATATTATAATATTTATAATTCTTGTCAAATATAATATTTTTATTTAATTATATAAATAAAATATTAAATATTAAGAAATTTAAAGAAAAAGAGATAATTATAAAGAAAAAATAATTTTAGAATTAGCTTAGAAATATTATTCTTTTGATATTTTTATATATTTATTTTTAAATAAATTCAAAAGAAAAGAAGAAATTAAAAAAATACAAAGTGTAATATAACTAAATATAAAAATAAATTGTGATAAACTAAATATAAATATAATAAATATAAATAGAAAAGATAAATAAAATTAATTTCAGAATAAAAATAAGATATTTTATTTATTAATTTATATATTTAAATTATTCTTTATTATATTATATTATTTATATTTATTAAATATTTAAATTTATAATATAAACTTTTTCTATAAAATTATCTTATTATTTAGAAAGACTTTATTAAAATATATTAGAACATTTTGATATTTCAAAAATATTTTAATAAATATTTTGAAGATTTTCAGGAAACTACTGATTTCAAAAAGATTTCATTAAATATTTCCAAAAATAATTCATGAATTTTGATTATAGGATTAAATCAATTGCTGAATTATTGTTAAAAATCTTGTGATAAAAATGATTCTTGGAGAATATTAAAAAATTGTATATTTTATAAAAGAATAAAAGAAAATTTAAAATGCAAAAAGTGAAAGAAATAGGTATCATTAGAAAGCTTGCAAAGAGCGATGTTTAACTTAGAGAAACAAGTGCCTTTTTCGTTGTGCGTCAATGGGGATCGACAAGAAAAAGTAGATTTGTAATACAGTGAAAAAATTTCGATTTACATGTAAATGTGTTATCGTTATCGTTATAGGATCTCAATCCGATCCGCTAAGAACATGCTGGTGGTGGCGTGATAAATTTTCTTGCCGAAGAAGGTTAAATTTATAACAAAACAACGATTACATAATAGAATTACATAAATTACACAACCAACGTTAATTTTTCCGCTTTTTTTGTGACACCACGGATTAACTATACATGCACGTGCACAGGAAACATTGTTCCTATAGGATACAGATACAAAATGGTTTATATATATATGTGGCTAGATTTAAAACAAACAATAATAAGGTCACCCAATATGGTTTGTCCTGACAAAATGACCAGACGCGCGTATATTGTTTTTCGTAGCTATTATGCCGATTGTTTAAATTTAATCAATATAAATTTTTCTTTATGGAAATAACATTTAAATGTACATGTAATAAGAGACTTGTTTTTCCTATTACGAATCATTAAATGACGGGCGAGACATATAGTCAATAAATGGGAGAACTTTCCTGCGCTTGCCTGTTCCAATGTCAAGTAAGATGTTAAAATGTTTAATGAAATAATGAGCATAACCAAAAAAGGAATAAATTTACATGTACACATATTAATCTATATCGATATTGTTCATGGATTTGTACAAATTAATCAATTACTTCTGCAAAACAACATTTCCTGAAAACCCCCCTTTCCACCTTCTAATAAAGACATGGTCCCATTCGCCATTATTATTATTGTTGATGTTGTTGTTATTATTATTATCTTCAATCCTAAAATCATACTTATAGTAAAATAATGCCAAAAAACACTTCATTTCTGTCATTGCCAGTAATTTACTGGGGCATTTCCTTGTCCCACCACCGAAGTGTAATAAAGAGTTTTTCTGTATGCGGCTGACAGAATTTGGTGAAAGAAATCGTGATGGGTCGAATTTAGTTGGATTTGTCCAGTGTCTCGGGTTAAGATGTATTCCTTGCTGGTTTAGTATAAATTGTGTGCCAGCCTAATTATAAACGAATTGGATTACTACTAAAAGCACAAATATATAATTCTCACAATGGATCATCTGACAAAATAACCAAAAGCAAAAAAAAAACCACTAAAGCATTTTCAGCTGCATAATTAAAAAGAACAATCACATATTTTTGCTTCTTAAGTCACATTCATCTATCTTTCCAAATTGGGTGACGACTAAAAAAGACTGAAATTATTTTGATTTATTACCTTTAATTGATGTTCACCAATAAGACAATCTTCACCAGCAATTCGTAAATTTAATGGGATTGACGGTAAAATTCTCAAAGCTTCTTTGATAACCGCTTCGGTATATTTTAATTTTGCCAAATCTTCGTAATCGAGAACGTGGGTATCTGTTGAATCATTTCCATCGTTATTTTCTTTGCATACAGAATTTATTTCATACATTAATTGATGCTTGACTTTCGGGTGTTTGGCGAGCATATAGATAATAAAACATAATGTATTTCCCAACTAAATAATAAATTAAAATTTATGAAAATAAATCACAGGAAAGGGTTCGTCTTCGCACCATAATAACTTACGGTATTTATTCCGTCCGCCATAGTATGCAATAAATTCTCTCGAATATCATCATCACTAAGTGTCACTTTATCTTTTTCGAAAGTAATCATCATTGTCAAAAAGTCCATCTTTACTTCTTTAGCCTGGCTACGATTTATTCTAATCTCCTCACGTTTCTCCTTGACAATCTTTGCCAGCTCTTTATTCACCATTCCCAAACTTTCCTTGAAACGTCGTGCCATTGTTGAAACATGTGGCACATAATCACGTGTCCATTTAGGCGTTGCTAAGAAAGTCCATACAGCTGGAAAAAAATCTTGTATATTTTGTATAAATCTCTCGGTGTCGATTATCCTTCTAGATCTAGATTCATCATCGGTAATAGCGATTGATAAGGATTTCGCCAATTTCTTAAATGATGAATTGATGCCTGATTTCTCGTTATCGATGTTAATTGTTTCAAGTATTGTCTTCTTATATGTCTGAATTGAATTGACGTTTTCACTCGTTGTCACTTTGAATATTATGTCGGTTGTCCATCGAAATATCCATTCACGTATATTCACGTTGGCAACTCGATAATGTTCTTCATTGAACGATTCAATTTCAATCCAACTTTTTTCCATCTCTTTAAATGCTTTTCTCGCATACACCACACAATCTTTAGCGACATCGACCGACGAAATACCATTCGCGAGAAACTTTCTATTTCTAACCCAACTCTCCGTATCTTTATTAAAATACAATCCTTTTCTCGATATACCCAATTCATCTATTCCCTGCCTCGGACTTGTACGAAGATGAAACTTACTTTTCGCGACCGATGTGCTATCAAAAAGCAGGTCTGCAATTTGCGCATTGCTAATTACAACAACCGGGTCTCTGAAAGAGAATGGAATATCTAGTTGGAATAACTCTCCATACTTTACGTGTAGAATCTGTATCACTTGGGATAAATTGAATCTCGCGTAAAGTAACGAGAGAATCAAGTGTGGTAAGTTTCCGACGATCGGAAAGGGAACTGGACCAGGTAAACGGTTTGTGTCAAGGTAATATCGAAAATAGAATATGGATACATAAAGAAAAATATATGTGAATATTATTGATATATATGATTGTTCACTCTCAAATAAACCAACTTTATCTAACAAAGACATTTTTAAGTAAGGTGATCCCAATAAAGACTTGAGAATCTTTTTATTACGATGTCACGAATTAAAATCGTGACAATATATATACAGTCAAAGCTGGTTACAGTTAATGTTTCTTTCAGAAACATTTTGATACAAAAATTTTTAAATAATATAAAATATATATATATAATGCCATTACACTGGATAGAATAACATAAGGCCCGATGCTATTCCCTTTTTTTCTTACAAAGATCACGCAAATACAAGTTCGATATGCTTACAAATGTAAATGTAAGAGACCATTCAAAATATTAGCTTTCAATAGAATATCCATTATAAAAAAATCAGGCCACTCACACATATGGCGCACATACAAAATAAAAAAATCTGATTTGCGAGAGTTCGGAAAACATCGAATGTTATTGTTGATTACAAGAGGTACATAAAAACATCATACCATAAAAAAAATCGAATGTTATTTTAATTTACGCGTAAGTACATGCGCGTGTAACCACGCCACGCATAAATAGATACAATTAGGAAAGTTTCATAATTAATATTGCATTTGAGGATGCAAAAGATTCTATTATTGCGATTAGATCACAAGGCACTTTCCTGCTTATATTAATTCAATTGCTCTTAACGAGATCCTAAGTATTTATATTGAGATTCGTATTTATTAATATATCAATATTAATAAATACTGTAAATAAATAAAATAATAAATAAATAAATAAATAAATTAAACAATATAAATAACGATAGGAACTCAAACGAGTAGGCGGTGCCTGCCGACTTAGTTAAACTTAAAAACCAAAGTACTACGACAATACAAATTTAAGCAATTAGGTTTGCCTTGCGGTCAAAATGCAGTGTCTAAATTTTCTGGCTATCAAGTTGACACCTCTAGTTTTGATAAGTTTATTGACGATTTCGTGGTTCGCTTAATTAGATGTCACGATGGGGGGGGGTTAATTGCAAAAGCAGACACGTAAAAACTCGTTAAATCTGGTCCGGCAAACAAAAATGCAACAAGGACTCTAATACAAATAGCAAAAAAAATAAATGGGGCCATTTGTACATGTACTTTATAAATTAATAATACTAATATGTGCGTGTGCTAGAGTAAATATGTGTGTAGAAGAAATATGAACAGTAACTTTGAAAGTTTGGGTCCCCACCCTCCTATGACCGAGGGATAACCCCTAAATTATATTAAATTGAATTTGTAATTTAGTTTAACGATTGACTGACCAGAAGAAACTGCATGAGAAAAAATGACGCCGACGAGAAAGTTTAAAATTTATGATAAACTGTCTATGAGATAAACAACTTAGCATGCTTTTTGTATTTTAATCTTATTAATAATATATCAAAAAGAACCTAAATTAATTCAAGGCGTAAAGCATGTCAGTTAATGACTGATTCTATAACCCAAAATCAAACTGTTATGAATTGAATTGTTTATCAGCTTTGTCGTGTTGTATCGTTATCGTTATCGTTATATTCTGAATTCTTTTTTTTTAATGCATATCATCTATACATGTGATACATACTGAGATCGATATCGATATTTGCACATGAACATGTACATGTATTATATCGATATACCGATACGGTATAACGTAATGATATCCGTATCGGAAATACTGATACTAATCGTATAAACACGATACATGTACATGTAATTCTAAATTCTAGTAATTGTATCACAAAATTTGACCAATACGGTGGAATTTTCTTTGCTTGTTGAATGAAATTCGGTGCTTCACGAAAATCAATAATTGTAGATAATTGTCTGTGAGGTGAGACCTAACTTTTTAAAATTGTTTGTTGTCTTCCCAAAATTTAATGCTCGTCTTTTTGTTTCAAAACTATTTATCGCTCATCTCGTAATTTTTCACTCTAATTGAATCACTAAATATTATAAATAAGTTGGTCAACAAAGCTATCGAGAAATTTCTATCCGTTTTCCCTTCTCCCATTAAATTACTTTCCTTTGTCCCTTATACATTATTCTCGATTTATTAAAAATAATAAATGGGCAGTTGTCTGGATAAACCTCGAGAAAATGAAACAAATGCTGAGATACGCTCAATCGTTCCTTTTACGGCAACATCTTCAATTGAAAAGAGACACACTATTTCCTTAAATTCGGAACCATCATTAAATAATCATAACGACAATTATTCACATAACAAGCGCCAAAAAAAAAACTCTTGGATATTTTCGATAAATGCTGATAATCGGTTTGCTAAGTTGCATGCTCTATTTAAGTACACTTGGCAAGTAAATTTTCTTGCACCCGTTCATGAACAACTCGAATCGGGAAACGCGCGAGTTTTAGATTACGGGTAATAAATCGTTTTAACTTGAGATAAATTATGAAAGAAAGAAATAATATATTTTGTGTTCTATCAATAATAAATTCTATCAATAATAATAAATAGATGTCAAACAGGGGAATGGGTATTAGACATCTCTGTTAAGTATCCACTCGCAAAAGTATGGGGAATCGATACATCAAACATCTTTCCTTCTTCGCCAATACCATTAAACTCTAATTTTTTACATTTTGATATTCTCAATGGATTCCCTTTTGCCGATAATACATTCGATCTCGTTCATGCCCGATGTTTAGCATTCACATTTACCAAAATCGAATGGGAGCATAGGGTAATAAAGGAATTGTTGCGTGTGCTAAAACCAGGGACTGGCTGGCTAAGTCTCCTAGAAATCAACTTATTTTATACAAATGAAGGTCCAAATACCGCCAAGCTTACAGAATCCAGTAAACATAATATTTTTATTTCGAATTTTTTCCTCGCATTCTATATTGTCTTGAGAAATAATTCATTCTTTGATTTTATAGTGAGATCATTTCTTAAAGGAAAGAACATGGATCCTGATATTACGAGTTTACAGCTAAATTTGTTACATGAATCCAATCAATGCACGGACATACAAGTCCACGAAAGATTTCCCACACCGGGAAATTATATCGATTTTGTTCGTGTGGAAGATATCATTGCGAAGGAATTCGCATTAACCATGTACGGTTTACGTACGGAATTATCTAACTTTATGGGATTAAATAATGAAGAATATAATTCTTTGATAGAGTCAAGTGTCAAAGAATTTAAAATTTATAAGACTAGCGTTAGACAGACTAATATAATTGCACGTAGAATATAATTTTTAGTCAAGTATGTAAATAATATTTAGTTAGTTAAAAAAAGCCACTTTAAAAAGAAAAACCCAGCCGGTCGGGTTTAAATAAACAAGTCGAGACAATTGATGAAGATTAGTTGTCATAAGTCAATGCAAAATTTCATAAAAATTAATATCGTCATTAATATATCTTTTTCTATAAAATAAATTTATCGTTATTTGACTTAATAGAAAATCTTTTATATTGTTGTCTTTTGCCATTAAGCGAGTAATAAAAGCGACATCATTATCGTATATTTAGGGATCTTCTATTGCATATACATCGCCGGAATAATCAATCAAAAATGCATTTTGAATGAAAATGAAAGGCTGACATTTATATGTACGAATTAAAAAAATTCATGGTAGACTTGTTTATTAGACACGAAGTTTATTACTATTACGTATAGATGTAATGTTATATGTAGAGTATGTTACAAACTTCTCTTCCTGTATTTTTACTATTATAACAAAATTAAGTATGTACATGTATTGATTTGTTTTCTAACAAAAAATTTACTTTTTTTCAGCGCACTCTGTTTTCTTATGTAACAATCCATGAAACAAAAACTGCTGAACTCAATTTTACGTTTTTCAAAACTTCATTATAAGCAAATGATGAAACTTAGCCATTTGAATTGTCACTTTACTGAGGTCGAAACTACTCTAAGAGAAGAGAAATATGTTCATATTAGGAAATCTTTCGATCCTATAGACCTTTAATTATTTAATTTTGTATGCTGTAATTTTTTATATTTATCAGTTAATACTGCACATTTGATTAATTACTTCAGAATTTTATAAGTGTTAACTTTCTTTTTAATACATAAATTTGTTATTATTTTAATATTTAATTTATTTTCGGATTGAATTCAAAGAGAGATATATATATATGATGGAAGGTGAACAATAAATACAAAAAAATGATTTTTGTATTCAATTAATAAATTATACTGCAGCAAGAAAGAAGTATTGATTTAATAAATTTAAATATTTCTAAATATTTTAGCCATCCATCACAATGGTAAATGTCTCTGGTTATTTGGCTTAATTGGGTCCGTTCATCCTTTAAGTTTAATTTCTAATTCGACAAGATTTTGGGAGTTACGTACGCAGCGATCACAAATAAGTTGATTGGGCGGGCCAGTTAACTACGCTTTTCTTGCTTATATCGATCCAATTTTTAATTAGATTATTAAGATTTATTGAATTTGTGATCCACTTCTTGGTTTAAGCACTTGCGTGACGTTAACACGAGTACATGTATTGAATTTCACACACAATTAATCATTATAGTTCATTATAAAACACGGAATATTAAAACATTGCATAACGATAAAATGAAATGAACTCCAAATGGTAAGGGAAGTGTCATTATCACCTGATTTCCTGCATCTAATAGTGGTACATGAGTTATATTGACCAGTAATATGACATTTCGTGAGAAATAACTAAACTTTTTCGAATACGTTTATTGCTATTAATGTATTAATGTTCAAATCAAAAAATACTCATGAATGCAATAAATGTGCTCATTGTCAATGAATGACTACTGTGGAAATGTTTCAAGAATTACCTTCAATTTCATAAAGCAAAAAGAAAGATATCGACAATCTAATAAAAGAATGTGCAAAAATTGTGAATGTATCCTTTTGAATGATTCACCGATGTTGAAAAGGAGGCTATAAGCAATCTGGTTGAACGATCATTAAACTAGGCTTTGGGATCCTTAGGAAATAAATTTAACGAACTTGAAAGCACAAAAGTTTAAATCATTACACAATTCAAAGCAAATGACGTTGAAGTTTATAAACGAAGTAAAATGAACAATTTCTAAAGTGTAAAGTTCTTTATGTTTTCTGATTGTTCAAAAATATTTTAGGCGGTTCTAAAGTACAGTGATAATGGACTGCAATATAATCCAATTGCAAATAATGAATTTGCGAGTTTCACAAGTATTAGTTCTAAACGCGAAAAAAATTAAATGAGACTAAGAATCACAAGTTGGATTATGAATATAAATTTATAAAACAGGAAGAAAATATCAAAATGCTGACACATTGATCCTTAAAAATCATGTGAATATAAATTTGCTTTGACCAGCATAATCAACAAAAAAAAAATAGAACAAATGACTTTTGTGAATAGCAAACAATAATTTTTTTCCAATAGCCAATAATAATGCATAAATTTTTATTAGTTCGCCAAATAAAAATTGATAAAAAAATAGTGAAAAAATATATAGAAAGAATATTTTATTCTAAAAGTACAGTCAAATCTTTTTATAATTAACAAATTTGAAAAAGCAAAATTAAATAATTAGAAGAGATGTGATTATAGAGATTTTTTAATTATGCTACTTAATAACTAAAAACCTAAATTTGATAAGTATAAAAATAAAAAAAGATATAATTATAAATTATATTAATAAAAAATTTTTTGAATTCTTAATTTTTATTATAATTCTTAATTTGATTTTTAATAATAGAATATAATTTTTTAAAATTGATAAAACTAAAAAAAGAATAGTTTTAACAAAAATTATTAATAATATAATTATATAGATATTTGAATAATATTTTTGAATTAATTCAAGCACTAATTTTGATAATAATATATTTTAGTTATTAACTATATATAATTTATAAATCAAATAATTTTATTTTATTAAAAAGTTAATATTTTCTTTTCTTTAATTTATTTTATATTTAATATTATCTTTTTTTAATTATCTAATTTATAATATTATTATAAATATTATACTAAAAAATTTAATTTCAGTTTGAACTTAAATTAAATTTGAATTTAAATTTATATTTATATTTAAATTTAAAATTTAAACTACAAAAAATTTTAATTTCAAACTTGAAATTAATTTTAAATATAATAATAAAAATTATAATATTATGAATTAATGCAAAAAGATTATATCTCAATATAAAAATTAATAATTACTTCTAATAAAAATTATTCAAATTTTAACTAATTTTTATAATTTTTTTATATTAAAT